AACTGTGACACGTGAAACACGAAGCGAAATTCGGTCAATGATTTGTCAAAACCACACACATATATATACTGCTGACGCCACCATTTTTGCAAACGTCGACCGCGGTGCACCAACGAAAATACGTCGAAAATACGCCTCATGTGGTTGGTTGTCGCGCTTTGGTGCGAGGCGCATTTATCGGGCGGCGCCTCGACAGACATATCTGCCCCGCCGAGAGCAGATGTGGCACATATGCTCAGGAATGCGCTAAGTGGTTGACGCATGCGACAATCTTTTCCTTTTCTCTCCCTCTATCTCTCTCCTTGTGCGTGTGTGTGTGAATGAGTGAGCGGTGAGTGTGTGTATGTGTGTGTGTGTGTTTGAGTGAGTGAGTGTCAGTAAGTTGAGTGAGTGCGTGAATTAGAAAGAGAGAGAGAGACAGACAGTGATCTCTCTGTCTCCATGAGCGTAAAGCCCTGATATTCTAAATGCATGGGCTTTGCATGAGTGACCACACAAGCACCCCCACTGGGGAGATCGCAAAGGTATCCGCATCGCAAAATACACGCGGACAAGCCGCGAAACACCGTCGAAGCTACAGTTCCGTCTTTTGTGATTGTCAGCCTCTTTAGTGCAGTCCATGGACACAGCATACGTGAGCTGGAGATGCCGGAGATTATACGGTCTCGTCTGCAGGCCGTCCGTGGGCGCGCGCCGCTCGTATCGGTATACCACCGCGTGTATATACGACGCTCTGCAAGACGACCGAACACACGTGGAACGGTTATACGAGCTTCTCCTTATCTACGCGCCATTGAAAGCAAAGCCCGCAATCCACGTGGCCACTCGGCCGTACTCCTTAAATTCCGGGCACGAAGGGCCGTTTTCATATTGATCCTCTCCTCGAAAATCAATGGGCGTTCCTGAGAAGCCACGCTGTCTTGTCACTCGCTCGTATCGTTCAGTACATGGGTGGTCTCTGTCTTCATAGTGAAGGGGGGTCCTTTTTATTGCGTTTTTTTTCTCTCGGTGCACAGGAGAAATGCGCGAAGTGTGCGCTGAGGAAAGAAGCTTCATATTTCACAGCGCGTTTGCTTAGCCCCTTTTAAAATGTTGCAGAGTAGGATATCTGTACAAAATATTTATAGGACCTTGTTTCGCTGGTGCAAGTGCGCCCGCACGTTTAAATACCTGACATTGTTTAGAGCTTTCACGTTGCCGGATTAGGGGGTTTAAAGTAGGATTAACACAACGACACGTCCGGCACGCTGGCCCATTTGAAACAGTCGACGCCGTTTGTTGAGGTTTTTTTTTTTTTTTTTCCCAGTCCACGTACGACGTTCAGACACCGTGTTTGCTCGGACGCAGATGTTGTCGGTTCTTCGTTAGGACGAGAAAACTGATCTCTCTGGTGCGACTATCGTCAATTGCCTGCTAATGTCATCCCGAACTGTCTGTACTGCATAGCTCTGTCAAAACATCTATTTCAATGTAATTACAGAAACGCTTCGTTATCTGACAAGAAGACAGGTTGCGATACATGCAAAGATTACACTAACATGAAAGATAAGGAAAAAAATAAAGTGCAGAAGAAGCGAAATGACTGTTACAATTGCCCTTTCGAGCTAATAATTAATTATAATACATCGCCACACATATTTCAGTGGAATACCTTCAACTTATTCATTTATTAAACGAACAATAATGACATGTTGTAGGTGTATGCATTACAGGCTATTCTAAAATTGGACTTCTCAGGAAAAACGAAATAAAATTATATGAAATAAAAATTGATCGAGACAAACAGTGCACATACTAGCATAAAGCGCAAACAAATGTTATTCAAGCAGTATGAAGTACTTCGTATGTCCTAATTTGAAGAAGCCCGTCTATTTAAGGTCGTCAACACATAACGGTGCGGGAATCTTGCATCAAGCCCCGCAAAAACAACTTCATTTTTGAGGGGTGTGGTCCTGAACTGCCACTCAGAGGCTCAAAACGCACTCGCGGGCTAGTTTATAAATCATTACGGCATATGGCAGCACACAACACAAAGGCATGACACAAGCGCTAAACTTCAACTCCGATCGTTAAAGTTGAATTGAAGAAGAGCGCTGCAATATGCCCCCTCAAAGGTATACTCTCTGAGAATGTTCATCTGCAAAAACCATGAAGACAAGTTAGGTTGACAAAAAAAAAAAACAACAAGTTGGAGCTCACTCATACTCGCTCAGCAAATATATTTTGCTCAGAGGGCCCACTTTGACTCAGAGCCACCGGAATTTTCTGCAACCGGACTCACTAAACTTCTTCTCGACCGGACTCACTTGGACTCAGACTCCCTAACATATTTACCAGCCGGACTTACCCAGCCTGACACAAAGGACTCGACTTGAGTCTGAGGAAGCCGATTGATTGATTGATTTGTGGAGTTTAACGTCCCAAAACCATCATATGATTATGAGAGATGCCGTAGTGGAGGACTCCGGAAATTTCGACCACCTGGGGTTCTTTAACGTGCACCCAAATCTGAGCACACGGGCCTACAACATTTCCGCCTCCATCGGAAATGCAGCCGCCGCCACCGGGATTTGATCCCGTAACCTGCGGGTCAGCAGCCGAGTACCTTACCCACTAGACCACCACGGCGGGGCGTGAGGGAGTTGACTCTTATGTCCATGAACGTAAATCTACCCTTTTTTTTTAATTTTGGTAGCAATGATATTTAATGCCGATGTCTCTCATATTCGCTCTTTAATGCCACTATCTTTCATCATCGACGCTCTGCGATTCACCTTTCCATCTTTCGCCTTCAAATGCGAGTTATTTGTAATCCAATAAAACAACAAACACATCTTTTGACATACCCGGCACACACGAGATATCTTTATCGATAACTTTAAGTGAAGGAGTTTGCGGGGAGAGGTCGTGGAATCTCTTCTATTTCCCGTATCTGACCAATAAATATTGATGCGACGCATGAACGTGATTGCGTTGAGGAGTAGTTGTAGTAATAGCCATTTATTCAGCCACAATTTACAGGCCGAGCATTTCGACCGCCTGTGCGATCAGTCAACGCTGTTCTTCTTCCCCTTCGGCGCCGATCCAGTCGAGCCAGGAGGTGATGGAAAGGGATGGGGGAGGGTAATAGCTGGATTGCTGAGCAGTTGGGCAGTAAACAGGCAGTGTGACAGGTCAGCATATGGGTGGGGGCAATTAAGACAGCAGGGGTTAGACCTATATTTATAAAAGGGAAAGGCGAGAGGGGGTTGTCAGGCAATTCATTTGGATGTGCCGTAGGGTTCGAGCCTCGAACGCAGTGAGTGATGGACGAGGGGGAGGGTAGAGACGCTTGTCGAGCCGGATACTGGAGATATACCTCCTTTATAGTGTGACGCAAGGAGATCTGCCCATCGTTATTCGCGGAGCTCTCACTGTCTTCCGAAGGCGTGGGCCAGGGAATGAACGGTGCCTCTGTGAATAAACGTCGGTATAAACTTAAGCGGCAATACAGAGTGCAGCTCACTCACGGTCACTAATCAAATGTATTTTGCACTTACGGCGCACTCAGACTCACCAACTCACCAAAGTGACTCCGCGTGAGTAAACGCGGAGTCACTCAAACTGAAGGGCCGATCCGAGTACGATTGGGTATAAGTGAGTCGATTCTGAGCGAGTTTGCCTGCCTATGCAGGCTATCCTTTACTTGCCGGCCCCGGGCATGGTGGCGGTCCAAGCCCTTGGCACACTAATAATTAAAGAGCGTGACCACCGTAAACAACCCTCAGTAAAGTAGGCGATATGCGGCGGTGTTGTTCAAACTCTTCGTGAACATTCCGTAACACTTTCTGTCGATTATGGCATTACCATGATGTCTTGTTCATGCGCCTGTTTCATGTAAATTAATTTATTTCCCCTTTACGTGCAAGCTTCATCATATGCGTATGCAGGGGTCTCCGTAAATGGGAGACACTGCCCGCTTTTAGTGGCGTCCGCAAGAAAACCAGAAACAAGTCAGCCAGCTCCTCTGGGCGGGCACTAACGAAACAGTAAAGCTGGTGGCTTGATTGATTGATAGTTTGATTGATATGTGGGGTTTAGGGTCCCAAAGCCAGCATATAATTATGAGAGACGTCGTAGTGGAGGGCTCCGGAAATTTCGACCACATGGGGTTCTTTAACGTGCACCCAAATCTGAGCACACGGGCCCACAACATTTCCGCCTCCGTCGGAAATGCAGCCGCCGCAGCCGGGATTTGATCCCGTGACCTGCGGGTCAGCAGCCGAGTACCTTAGCCACTAGACCACCGCGGCGGGGCTAAAGCTGGTGGCATGCCACGGGGTTAAATGAGGTGGAATGACGTGGCATGAAGCGGGTGACTGAAGTGAGGGACTGGCGGGAACAGCAGTGGGCGTAGTGGTGAGTTCTGGGAATATATGGTTGTGTCGTGTACTCTAAATCCATGAGACGATGTCGCGCACCTTAACTCGGAAGTACGCGTGATGGTCATCTAAGAGGACGTACACGCAGGTGAGACGGAACAACGAGAAAAGACAGCATTACGTCTCCGTTCGACACGCCATTGTTTTTTTTTCCTATCACTACCGCTGTCGTATACTCATCCGGCAAATGACAATCTCCCATATACGAAACGAGTCCTGTATATAGCGTTCCACGTAAACGGGTGATGTGGACATCCGCGGGATCTATACTTGCGAATGCTATACGCCGTAGCCACACACTCCTCTTATTGTCGAATCACAGCTTCGGCGACCGCGCGGCGCCGGCGACTCAGTCCTCGGAGCGCCAACTGTACAGAATCGGCAAGCAGCGGGCCTTTTTTCTTCGGGCATTGTGCGGCACGTCGACGCCGCCTTCCACGGGAAGCCGGACGCCGCGGTATCGCGCTCCGGCGACGACAACACGTCACACGCCCTGCTCGTGGAGGGTTGAGCGTAATCGGCCGCAGCTGGCAGCGAGCATCCGGCTTCAAGGAGCGATCTCCTTGCGTGACACACGCGTCCCAGGAAGCCCGCCTGTGTCCCACCAACGCCCGACGACGTTCGACTCCCGACAGCGATGCTGCGAGGAGGCGCTGCGCCGTTTCGCCAACGCTCTTTCCAGTGCGGGGTCGAGTCTACCGGAACGCTCGAGGGTGCATCGAGTTAAGCAAACAACGAAGTGCTGGAAGTATACAAGAAGCCACTTGTGGCGCGTGCATTTGACGCCGAGGCTTAAGTGCACCGCGGCGACCCACTTTGTGCAACGTCTCGTGTACCAGGTGACTCTGCAAACAAAGCACTTGTGAAAGTAACCCGGGGAAAAAGGGACTGTACCAGAAGGCTCTACCAGCACCACTGCGAGTAATTGGAGTGCCGCGTAAAGGAAGTGTGAGAAAGGCTAGCGCACCACGTGAACCTTGCAAAAAGAACCGACGAATCTTGCTAAGTCCTTTGCGACCAAACAAACTTCACGCTACGAAGATGCATGCTGCAGATAGCTTTTCCCGACCACCAGCGCCGCATACCCACGTTCAAACGTCTCTGTAGGCCTACGTTCATCCTGCATACGCGACTCCTGGTGCTTGATTTACAGCTTTGGCTTAGGAGACTCGGCAAAGTCTAGATGAGACCCGCTACAGGCCGTACAACGTGACGTCATGGTAACCCATCAGAAAAACTTTCGCTAAACAAACGAAGCTGCAGCTAACCATTCACAGAAGTCTGAAAAACATTTCTCGTCGGCAGTGGGATCGAAATAGCGCAGGTTAAAGTTTGACATGTACACTGACACTGGCTGCAAACTGTCGGACATGACTGCTCCCGCGAACCCCGTGCAATTTTCCTTGTTTGCCTTCCTATCTGTGTTGGGTAGTGCGGTGAATTTGGCCACGGCTTGGGCCTTGCTCAGAGACGCACGACTCCGCGGTCGGGCGACCAGTTGCTTCCTGGTCAACCTGTCGCTGGCAGACCTGGCCTTCAGTCTGTTCAATGGGCCCTTGGATTCGGCCGTCTTCTATTACGGTGAGATGTCTCCCATGTCTTCCGACCCATGTTAAGCAATGAAAAATCTTTGTAACGTAGTGGACTTAATTGTGTTGTTAAGGCTGCAACATGCCTCCTTCTTCAGGGCAGGTGCAGCTTTAAAGAAGACAAGTTTGTTTGTGGACACGTTGGCATCAGTGACACCCCACCCTCCGAACATTATTCATCTTTTCTAGTTTCAATCTTCCCCCGGACTTCTATAATATGACATGGTAAACTTCACGTCAGATATTGGCAAACCTAAATTTATTACATGGATTCTGCATGCTTTCAAGTATCTTGCGGTGCCACTCAAACGAATAGTATGCGGTTTACATATAGTATCTTTTGTGTTCACACCACACACACCAAAAAATTGATTTTTTACTTTGTTATTTTCGAAGTTAACTACTTCATCTAATCCTCATGCCAGACATATATTTTAGTGAATGTTACTGACCAATGGAACTTGATGAACTTGGTTCCAGCTTCGTATGTCTTCCGTAAGACAGTACACTGACTCAAGCAAGTAATCTATGCGGAGTGGTAGAAATGACTCAAACAAAAGACTTCATGAATATGGTCCAGTTTTGTATGACTTTCGTACAATAGCACACGGAAAACATGAGAAACTACGTATTAATATGCGCAAAGCTTCACATAGAATTCGCAAGTGCCTGCAGCTTTGACAGTGCGCTGCTGACAAATCTGCTACAAAAACAAAAAAGAAGTGAATGCAACTGCTTCAATAATTACCGGAGTAAAGATAGAAACAACCGCGACTGCAAATGGAAGCCCAAATGCGCAAAGTGTGACAGAGCATGGCGAAAGGCAACATCGATCATCGATTCATTTCAAGCTTAGTGACACAATATAGATTAGTACCGCACTGTTTCGTTCAGAAACGCAGCAAAACAAATGAGTGCATAGCGACCACGAGGCAAAGCTAAACTCTTGAACCTCATAAATCTCTGCTTGAACAGCTTGGCAGGCCTACTTGAGAGCGGGAGGTTATACTGGAGAAACTGCGGGAAACTCGTCGGGCTCTTATTCCCACGGAACACGAGAGCGCGCAAGTGTACGACGACGTCGTTACCATATAGGCCGACGGTGTTTCTCACGCACTGTGTCACCTCGAACTCTGCGCCACTAGTTCGGGCATATACACATTAGCGAAATGAGTTGAGAAAGAGAGAGAACCTATGTGGCATTCTGGCAAGGCCGCTGTAAGTTCGCACGCTACGCTCATTATATACGCGATGGATTTCTATATACCGGCTCACTTACCCCCTGAAGCAACAACGCGCGAGCCACAGCCACCTCAAGCACCCTATAGGCAAGGCACATATATATCGTGCTCAAAGCACTTTGACAAACGTTGGCTCGTTGTTTCCTCCCTGAGGTACGGCTTAATTAATAACGAATGTGGCGCGCGCGCTGATAACGGACGTGCGAGACCTGCAAGAAGCGTTGCCAGAAAACGTAATGAGTTTTTCTGCATGCCTGTAGCGCTGGGCTTCGCGACTTGGCAAACGGCTTAATGAATGCGGTTACGACATGTCAGCGCCGACTCTCCGCGTAGATTGTGAGCAGTTGAACGGGGGTGCGTGTGTGACGCTATCAGCGAAGTCAGCACATGTTAGTTACCAACAATGTCCAGGACTATACGATGTTATTTCTGTTAATATAGTGTGTCATAAAAATACCATTGAGAAAGTGAGGACGAATTACAAAGAGCCAGTTATAGCCTCGCACACGACTTGGGCAATTAGCGCAACTAAAATACGTATGCACACAAGCAGAGCAATGAGGCCGAACACAGCAAGAACCTCTCCTTGTCCTCCTTTATTCCAAAGTCATGTGCCTGCCTTGATCGATTACCGACTAAGGTGATCGAGGACGTGGGCTCGATTCCCAGCTATAGGGGGAGGGATGCAAATACGCCCATCTAATTAGATTTACAGGTGCAGGTGTATGTTAAAGAGCGCTACGCAGGTGGCAAGAGTGCTGTAGGCCTGTGTGCTCAGATTCGGGTGCACGTTTATGAACCCCGGGTGGTCAATATTTCCGGAGCCCTCCACGACGACGTCTCTCATAATCATACGGTGGTTTCGGGACGTTAAACCTCACATATAAATAAATAAATGAGGTGGTAAAAGTTGATCTAGTGTTCTGCACCGCCACAGTGTGCTCCACAAACCTATTGTGGAGCGCACTGTAATAAGAACACACTACAACAATAAGTTGAAGAAGGGGAAGAGGACGAGCTCTGTGGCGAGACATATAGCAATGATTTGTGGACCGATCGATCCCCATTGTATATGTTCGTTCAGAACACGTGGCAGTTTTCGCACCCAGATCTACCCTCTGGAATGCGTACGTAAAAGTCATTACCCATATAGTGCACTAGAGCAGATGCACCAATGTGTATGCGCCTGCGAAAGAAGACGAAAGAACCCGCGTTCTGATAGCGCGAAAGACTGTATTTGCCAGCCTTGCCGTACGGTCCTCTCCCGTCGCGACCTCATTGCGACTTCGCTATACTTCAATAAACCCCATCACAGTGTAGGAAATTGGGATAGTTGGAACATATATAATCATGCCAGTCAGTACTTCCATGTTTTTTGTGTCCTTTTATCGTGCTGAACGTCATTAGGGGGAAAAAAAAGTTATCCTAGCAGCGGAACTGTATACTATCTCGACTTTGTAGCCCTCCTACTGCCCCTTCTGTGGATCTGTACCGACATTGTAGCACTCTATATACGTGGAAATGCTCTGCTCCATAGGGTGTCACCTCCCAATTGTCCAGCCCTTCCTCTTGGGAGTCTGCAGAGCTCTGCTTATGCCGGCAGGAACAGCAGTTATAGGGAGCACTAGAATCATCGTGCGCACTAATGCGACGGCTAATGAGATGTAATGGCGAGGAAGAGGGGAGGAGTCAGGTATAGCAGAGAAAAAAAATGAGAAAGATAGAGGGCAATTGCGGAAATAGAACTAGAGAGGATCAACTAAGGGAGATAAAGAAATAAAATGAGAGGATATAGAGATAGAGATAAAGAGAGGGAAAGGTAGAAAGAACAAGAAAAAGAAACAAATCAAGAGAACGAGCAAGGGAGAGATGGGCTTAAAAAGAAAAGACATAATGCGCTACACGTAAGAATACAGCAAGCACCGGGATAACATAGATAGGTGCCCAGCAGCACCTGTTTTTCTTTAGAATTGCACATCCAGTACAAGCTACACTGTTATTTTATTTTTACTTTCCAGGGCGTTGAATTGCACTATAAACGGCATGAACTTTACATTTTGAGCGCAAAAGCAGCCCGCATTAGTCATGGCAGTTGCATTGCAGAGGGTACAGCACGACAGACCTAAGTCTCCGGGACACGTGATCCATGTAAGATGCCCGTTTCCGCTCTGATATTTAGTTATTGACGCGCACAATTTATTATTTGATGGTGTGTTGTACTTAAGTCTCATACTGTTAGGGATAAAATATTCAATTATAGAAATAGATCGTCGACGTACGGTAGCGCACAGCAGAAGGAACTATATACGTTAACGGAAGATATATGTTTCGGGTTTGAATGTAACCATTCGACAGAAGTCTGTCTGGTTGGGTATGAAACTGGGAGATGATTCGCCCCCGTATTCTAGAACGTCCCTTCACTCAACGCTTCACCTTCACTTGAGAAAGCCGATGGAAGCGCCTTCTCTAGGCACAGCAAGTCACTGCTTATCACCACAATGTAGCGCGATTCTCGAGCAGCGCAGCGTCAATTTCAGCCGAGCAGCGGCGCAGCGCTCAACTCTGTCAAGTGAAGGGTGAAAGTCGAGTCGAGGACTGGTTGTGAATACGGGGGTTAGACTTTGATGTTTCGGGCTGAGTGGGAAACTGCAGCTTCCCCGCAAATACAAAACTTTGTAGCGGTAGCTACACTGGCCGAGGTCGAGCGGTTTCGCTCGGCTTGTCGAGAGCCGTGCCGCGCATGCCTGAGGAGCAGTGACGTACACACAACTGGCGCACCACGTGGAGTTGATCTCGCGTGAGTTCACTCGCTAGTCCGTCCGTCCGTCCGTCCGTCCGTCCGTCCGTCCGTCCGTCAGTCATTAACTGACGCTACTAATTTCCTAATATAGAAGAGCTAAGCCACGGCTTAACTTATCGTTTTTTTTTTTTTAGCTGGCTGTGCAGCTCCAGTTGGTTACAACTTCCGAATAACTGTAGGCCTCACCCACCACCTTCGCTATACCACCCCGTGAGAATTTGCACAAATGCCCTTTCCAAACGCATTTCCTCCTTTCCGGGCACGGTGTAAGAAGTAGTAGCTTAGGTGATTGAACGGCGCGCGCTGGGCGAGGGCCACTGCGGCACGCTTAGAGTTCTCCTTTCTCCGCTCGTCAAGAGAGGGCGCTAGAAACTTGTGCCCGCTCACTCGCTTCGCGCTCTCAGACAGCACTAGCCGTTTGCAGCTTTGTTCACGGCACGTTGTTGCTGCTCGCCGGGTGTTGTCAAAGCATTGTTCATTTGTCTGCCAGGTAGCTCCCAACCTTCGAACTTTTTCATGAGCCTGCATAATGGGAAAGTGCTTCGTACCGTTTTGTAACACCGGTTACAAGTCTTGCAAAGAAAAGTTCTCGCTTTCAAGCCGCCGAACGATGAAGCAAGACTGGAAGCATGGAGACGAGCCATTCCTCGTAAGGACCGCGTGCTCCAAAGAACGGATCGCGTTTGTGAGAAGCATTTCGCTTCCCGTTTTATCCTGAAGACGTGGTCTGCGGGAATTGACGGCCATGTGCTGATGTCTGGAACAAGAAGAGCGGGCCTTTCAAAAGACGCTGTGCCGTCAATTTCGAAGGGGCGCCAAGCTACCTGTCCAGAAAGATTAAAAGCCCTCGAAAGCAAGTGAAACGGCTAGCGCTTCCTGTGGCTGCTTCGGTGAGTAGCTGTAACAACAATAGCAGCAACTTGCCAACGACAGCTAGCCACATAGAAGTCT